CAAAGATTAGATGGAGGCAGAGGCGGCTGGCCCATAGGGGACGCTCAGGCGCCACCCTCGCTGGATTTTGAGGGGAAAAGTCATAAATAATATATATAGATTTTGAAAGTATTATTAATATCAGTTTTACTTAATAGTATGTTGCTACATGTAATATGAATTATCAAACCAACACTTCTACCAATTGACTGTAATTCAACGGTACATTTCCACCGACAGAACATATCATTTCTCTGCTTGGGCGCTCATTCAAAGCGCCCCTGAAGTGTAGCAAAATAACCAATTGTATAAAGTTGCTAGGGAAAATGAATCAATATTTGGCCAATCAGAATCGCCATAAACCGTAACAACACAACAATAGGACCGTAAGCACCATTATCTGGGTGGGCCTCTGCCATGTGTTGGGATATAAATAAGGTCCGGTCAGTTGATCTAGTAGCAGGTGGGTTTAAGAGGAATTTTTTGCACCATTACATTTGTAAATAGATGTCCTAGTCCACAATTGCATAGGGGACCAACCAAGTGTCAGCGACGGGGCTCCTAAGCAATTGCAATCTCTGCTTACCGATAGTTACACCATTGCTTTGGGGCTCCTGGAATTTTGGCCCCTGATACAGTGATATAGATGTAGCTAGTAGTCAGTCAGACAGTGAGGTCGAGATTATGGCGACGCCAACCACTGAACTTGAAGCTTTCACACAATTCAGTGAGATCTTTACTAAGTTACCCTTTCATGAGAACGTTGATGTTGGAAAAAATCCATGAAAAGGAGCTGGGAACCTACAAGCCAGAAATAAATTTAACGCAGCGAACCGATGAAAAAGCTAAACCCTACAACCGGACTTTTAGCCTGAGTTGGTTCCAGTGTAAGTCGTGGCTGACAGCCTGTGGGACAGCTAAAGCACTAAAGAGTTTTCCCTGCAACTTGAGGTGGACTCAGCCTGGACAGACAGACTTAAATAACCAAGAGACATGACAACAAATTCTGATAGATATTGTAATCTTCCTCAGATCAGAGAAATTGCTTAGAGCTTACAGAAGGCAGCTGCTCACCTCTCAGGAAGTTGCCCCGATTAGTAGTTAAAAAGGCATTTTATACATCTCCAGTCTGCCACATCATCCCATTTTACATCATACAAGTTAGCAGATGATTAGGCATTAATGGCTCCAGCATTATCAAAATATTACACTTCGTTCTTAGTTGAAGGACACGGCTCTCATTCCATTCCCAAATATTTGCCACGTACAGAATGAAGATTATAACTGTATATCCAGACAGAGGAACTGTCTTAATTAGATTAAAACATCAGTTCTGACACGCAACAGGCAGCCAATACCAAGGTGTAATAAACTCACACATCATCAATGATAATTATCCTAACACAACACAAAGCAGTGCTTTAGTACCAGTGATGGGAGTAACAGCGTTGAAACTAACGGCGTAACTAAGGACGTTACCTTGTTTTAGTAACGAGTAATCTAACTAATAACTTTGACTGTAACTATAACGCAGTTACCATTGCAGACACCCGTTACTGCGCGTTACTCAGGTCGCACAATGAACCTTTTTTCATAATAGGACTCGTGCGCGCCTTGTCATGAGAGAGGGGAGAATTGCTGATGTATAGTGAGATTCCGTTTGTCAGTTGGGTAGGTGGGTGTTTCTGCTGGTGGGTGTTAACGTACAGCACACACAGAGAGATGGAGAGTGAGGATGACTCCAGCAGCAAAACATCGTTTTCCAGAAGGAAATACCGGTGTTACGTCGAGCTGCGTTTCCCCATCACATACGGTTTCCCCTGCATCTCCGCACAGTGCAGGCGGCACGATTCACCGCGCAAGCGACAGGAAACTGCATGCTCGCTAAAGGCGCGCAATATTCGCCCTGTGCTTGCGCCACAGGAGAACTATGGAGAGCGTGAACGATCAAATGATAGCCTATATGGAGAAGGGGAGAAATCTGGATGGATGGATGGATGGATGGATGGATGGATGGATGGATGGATGGATGGATGGATGGATGGATGGATGGATGGATACTCTGCCTTTTCAACCTACTGTATTTTTTATTTTAAACATTATTTGATGGCCTTTGTGGCAGGGATGGAGATCCATATTTTATGTCACACACAGAGTATAGATCTAGATAGATAGATGGATAGATAGATGTTGCAGTATCTATAACAACCCCAGTTATTAATTTCATATACTCAGCAGATCTGAACGCCCTGTTAAAAAACTTCACATCGCGTTCCCCCCTGATGTCATTTAGGTTGAGTTGCAATAAATGCTAAACAGAGGCGTGCACAGACATTTTGGGGGGCAGGTGCTCAGGAGGGGGGGGGGGGGGGGTGCACTTTTTAGCGCACGTGGAACACTTAATTATAAAGAAAAATACACGCATGTTGAATGAAATTTTACTTTTATTTGTAACATTCTCTAAACGTGAGTTTTAAATGGAAAAGAGTCACACCACCAACAGAACAGACTAAAGCGTACTACTTGCTCATCTTTCTTTTTCTTTCATCTGGCTCATCTCCCCGTTTTCTCTCATCCATCTGTTCTCCCTCATCCTGGTCTTTTTCTGTCTCTGTGTCTCCCTGAACTCTTCCTCATCTCCTGTCCTGGTAGATGTTGATAGTATAGAGCTTCCCTGCTGTGACTGGCTACAATATAATAATAATAACCATCATGACAATAATAATGATAATAATAATAATAATAATAATAATAATAATAATAATAATAATAGCTTAAACAAATAGGCCGCATTAGTTTAAATAATGGGCTATTAGGGCAACATGACTGGAAGTCTTGTCACATGGATATGACTTATGGTAGCCTACAAAATAATAGCTATTTTAATACCTGCTTCACAAACCACTTAAAAATAAAATGTGAACAGCTTTTAATATTTTTCAATACGATTAAACCTCCTTTCTTGGCATTGCACTGCAATTACTAAATCAATATACAATTAAGACAATAAAGAGACCAAAATGTGTTAATTTATGTTGCCTAACAAAACCTATACAACAGAATTCTGAGAAAAAAGTCAGAATTCTGAGATTAAAGTCAGAATTATGAGGTTAAAGTCAGAATTCTGACTTTTTTGAAAAATGAAACATAATATGGAATAGGTAAATATAATTATAAAAATATCTAAAAACTGTGGGTATACGTCATGCAATAAAATAGACTAATATATACACTTAAGATAAAAATATGGATATACAATATAAAAAGTAAAATAGCATCTTACAAGGAGACGACTAGTTTATCAGGTGAACAGTCGGCAAAATGCTTGTTTGGTGCTGCTGAATGAGACATTTTAATGCACAACAAAATGATTTAGCTTGATCTGTATATTACCTGGCTAATGGAGCACGGGAGAAGCAGCCTGTCAGCGACCGTTCCTGCTATCTGAAGACGCTACTGAACTGCTATGATGCTGCGCATCTGGCATGCCCTGCGGGCGACCGCGCGAGTTGACGTGACAAATGAAGAGAGAGAGGCTGGTCGTTTGTGCGCAAGTAGGTGGCTCATTTCGGGGCATTGTTTCAGTCGTTTTTAATGGCTCAGGTTTTCAAAAGATCATTTCAAAACTGACCTCGGTAGAATCTTATTAATATTAATAAAAAAAAAAAAAAAAAAAACGAGTTTCAAAAGGGCATTTTCTTTGATAAAGGGCAAACTTCCTAGTGCTTTAGCACCACCTAGTGTCTATGTGTGCACACCCCTGATGCTAAACTCTCTGCAGGTTCTTGTCTTTGTCGTCTGCTCTATTCAGATGGCTTTTGAAACACACAGCGAGAAGGTGGGGGCCGGGTGGTGAGGGTTACGGGGGCGACAAACGCAAAAGTAACGCAATAGTTACTTTTACTAGTAACTAGTTACTTTTATTGTGGAGTAACTCAGTTAGTAACTCAGTTACTTTTTGGGAGAAGTAACTAGTAACGATAACTAATTACTTTTTCAAAGTAACGTGCCCAACACTGGTGATCAAATTAGCTTTTCACCAATTTTAAAGAAATTGGAATGTTTTCAGAATTAACAATGCAATTAGCATGCAGTCCATCCTTTTGCGTCAATTAGCGTTGTCTTTACCCTGCATTAAACACGTGATATGATTATCATCATCAAAAGACATATTGTTTGTTCTGTCCCTAATCATGCAAGACCTGCAAACCTTTTTCCATGTCCATTTGGGAAGCTTAAGTTTCATCCATTTGTAGCTCTGCAGTCATGGCACAGCAGGGGTTCTTTGTCTCAGTCTCCATCTGCAGAGTTTAAACCATACTGGAAAACCTCCACCTCACTTTTCATCTGCAGAGTTTAAACCAGCCTGCAAACCTCCACCTCAGTCCTTATTTATAGAGTTTAACCCAGCCTGCAAAACCTCCACCTCAGTTTCCAACTCCAGAGTTTAAACCAGCCTGCAAGACCTCCTCAGTCCCTATCTGCAGAAAATAACCCAGCCAGAAAAACCTCCAAATCAGTCTCCATCTGTAGAGTTTAAGACAGCCTGCAAAACCTCCTCCTCAGTCCCTATCTGCAGAGTTTAAATCAGGCTGCAAATCCTCATCTCAGTCCCTTACTGCAGAGTTGAACCTATTCTGCGAAATCTCCACCTCAGTCCCTATCTAGAGAGTTTAAATGAGGCTGTAAAACTTCCACCTCAGTCCCTTTCTGCAGAGTTTGAACCAGCCTGCAAAACCTCCTCCTCAGTCTCCATCTGCAGTGTTCAAACCAGCCTGCAAAATCTATTCAGTCCCTATCTGCAGCATTTAAACCACCCTGCAAAACCTCTATCACAGTCCCTTACTTTAGAGTTTAACCCAGCCTGCAAAACCTCTTGCTCAATCTCCATCTGCAGAGTTTAAGTGAGTCTGCAAAACCTCCTTCTCAGTCTCCATCTGCAGAATTTAAACCTGCTAGCAAAACCTTGCTTAGTGCTTAGTGCAAAGGAATATGACTCATCCCCCACACCTTCAGGTACATAGGGAACCTGTGGCTGATTCACAACACTCAGCAGGCGATCACCAATGTCCGTTTTTCTTTTGCCGCTTATCCTGATGCAGTTTGTTATGATGTGGTCCAGTCCCTGGGGCTACGGGACCATAAAGGCCTTTCTGCTGTGGTCCATGCACACTGGTCTGAGGTGGATGCAGCTGAACATCGCCTGTATTGCAACAGAGACATCAGTGGGTTGGGTGTCTGCTCCGTGCATTGCAGCAGGTCGCAGTAGGTCACAGTCTCTTCTTTGGAGCCACTGGGTAGATTTGCGACCCTGTTATGTACCTTCACGAAACGCTCTTGCACGGTTTTTCATTTAGCAATGACCTGTTTCACTGCAAAAGTAACAAACATGTTTAGATTTGACTCAGCTTCTGTTTTCAACTTTAACTACAGTTTGCCATGAGCTCGGATGGTAGATTAAAATGCCTTTGGTATTCTGGTGTCAAGGTGCAAAAAACTTCATCACAAGATAAACCATCTCCCTCAGAATGTGGACTCCATGGTGATGGCAGCTTGCCTCCTCCAGAACTTCTCGCTGAGTAGAAGAGAGAACCAGCAGCTCCGTGACGAGGCCCAGGAGGGTGGACGTAGGATGCCGCCTGTTGGCAATATGGCTGGACGACGCACATTAGCTGAAGCCAGAGCTGCCAGCACCTACTTCAATTCCCCAGGAGGGAGTGTGCCATAGCAAAATAGAATGCTTTGAAACCTGCATCCTGCTATGAATGCAGAAGGGAATAAAACACATTTTTTATGTTGCATGCATCTATTATTACCTGCACTTCTGTAAAATCAAAGCTAAACAACATAATTATACACTGAACACATGGTGACAAAGCATTTATTTTCCTTGAAATATAAGCTATGTAGAAAAACTAGGGCCTTGTAATGCTCAGTTGTTTAGTTTACTAATATTTTTTCCAGGATTATACTAGGATGCTTGATTAAACCTCCATTTACTAATTGGGGGAGAACACAACTGAGAAGCAGTGCTGCCATTAGTGACATTTGCAACAGACCTGCAGGCATGTCTTGAGGTTTCTCCCAACTATTTGACCCCACCTTATCCCATTCCCTCAGACTCACACCTTAGCCTCTGATGCAGAACTCACTACATCTACATGAATAAAGACCTGGTGTCAGCCTTTTATCATACAAATAACCTTACTTTGCAAGTTCACTTTGTATTTCTAGAGCCATTTTAGTACAAGATAAACTGTTAACGAAACATATGTCCAAGTATTTCCTCATTATGTTCACAGGCTGTCTTTCAAATGGGTTTAATTTTTGTTTAGCTGTCTTGACGGAATCCTGGCATTCTCTGGCCTTTTTTTTGCGGCACCCAATGGCAATTTTTTTCATATCACCACATGCTTTCCTTATCACAGGTCAAACCACTCACACAAACGGTTACTTTATAACAATTTCGTTAAATTGTTTAAAAGTGTTTATACAGTCAAATTGATTGAAAGTTTTCTATCTAAGGAAAACCAGTTGATTGCATCGACTCATTGACTCAAATACAATCCCTCACACTAAGCATGCTTGTAGCGACAGTGGAGAGGAAAAACTCCCTTTTAACAGGAAGAAACCTCCAGCAGAACCAGGCTCAGTTTGAGCGGCCATCTGCTGAGGCCGACTGGGGTTCAAGGAGACAGAAGCAGAGATACAAAAAGCAGCTGTAAAAGGCGGCCCCGTCCAGGAAACACACAGCCAGGCAGACGAGCTCCGAGCCAGCTCCCACGCCAGAGGACGAAGAGAGCACATCCAGTCAGTCATGGTCAGAGAAACAGGACTACACTGAAAAACAGGCCAATCTCCAACATCTATAAACAAAGGTGTTGATGGCAGCAGCACAGCTGATATTTCTCTCCAGGATGGTGTCACAGCCAAACAGGTACTCTGAGGAAAAGAGAGAGCATAACGTCAGAGATTAAACTAACAGATTCTGCAGAATAGGAGAATAGTGAGAGAATGAAGCAGAATGATGAAACAATGACCAAAAAGCTATCGTTTTCATGTTGCTACTAAATCCTGATTGGAATTTCCTACAAATTAGAAAAAAACTTGTCTCAGTGAGTCTGGCATGCAAACAGTGTTAGCTACGAACTTCTATGTAATAGATTTGTATTTATGCGATGGACAAACACCAAGTACCATATCTTTGTGGAATAAGTAACTTGAAATAGAACAATAAGTGGTTTTAATGTTTTTTCATTATTTTTTTTTATCCTATTCATGATAGTGTGAAGTGCACTATGATGACTGCAATGTGTTAAAATGCCTAAGTGCAACCATTAAGCCAGATACTTCCTCCCAGCAGCTGTAAGACTCTATAACCACCACTGTTCCCAACAACTATTTTCAAATATCCATTACTGTAAAAATGTCCATAGCTGTATATTATTTATCTCCAGGTGCACAGTTTTTATACTGTTAAAAAACTTTACAGTACAATATTTTACTTTTTATCTTTTAATTCCTCACTATGATGTTATTCTTATACATTTTTCTAAGGTCCATATTTGTGTGACCATTTTCTGTATAATATTTCTGCTGCTGTAAACACCAGAATTTCCCCATTGCAGAAGAATGAAGGGAATGTTTTATGCGTTTATGGGTTTAATTTGCCTTGTGTTTAAGCATCTTATTGAGTTTTTATTTAGTTTTATTTATAAAAAAAACGTAACGTAAGAACTGTAACTATACAGTCATATGTTTACATTACTGTTTTTCATTACAATGTTTTTTTTATCACTGCTGCTTACCTTATCAAGGCTGCACTTTCAAAAAATTTAAATCTAACCATCCATCCATCCATCCATCCATCCATCCATCCATCCATCCATCCATCCATCCATCCACTAAGCCCTCCCCCCAATCCCGGGTAGACAAGTTATCCCAACAAACCACCATTATTTTTTATCTGATTTTATGTGTTTGATACGCTACTGTAAGCACAATAATACTTAGCGTGATCCATGGTGATGAGTTGTTGTTTTACTCACAAAATATGGTCATTTTGAAATGTTGACATCACGTGAGATACAGTTCTGCAAATACATTTCCTCCCTTTCTCCACAGAAAGTTGACCTTAATGTTGTTATGATGGTGATTATTAATCATTGTAATATTCTTTTTTTTTAATTAAATATACACATGACGTCCTATATCCTCGATTATCCAAATAAATCAACATTAAACTGGAGATGTGACTATATTTCTCGGCTTTACATTGCAAACACACGCATACATCTATCTGATCAGGCATTATGAGAGACAGCCCGATTTCCGGAAGAGCAACTGGTGCAACTTTAATGGACAAGGAAGAGACGTTTGTTTAGGTTTCGTCTTGGTAACAGATCTATTTTTCCTTTGTCCTATAGTAAAGTTTTTTTTTTCTTACATTATATACTTAAAAATGCCGTTGTTTTCACAAAACCCATTTGACCAAGATGTCGGTAAGTGTAGCGCTGTTTTTGGGCCCTTTTAGCTTTAACTAAGAGCAGTTGTCGAGAACAGAAGCTAATGCTAAGTTAGCTGCTATACATCGATGTGGAGTTATTTCTGCTTTAGTCATGTCAACAAATACAAGTGTAGGCCTGTCCGTTAACCTATACCAAACAATATGACAGCTGTTAACAGCTTATTAGGCTGTCATTTTCTAGTTTTTATCGAGTACTCTTTTGTAACGAACTTCGAGTCTAACCAGAAATTTAATAATGACGTTTACTCCCAAAACATTTCAAAGGCGTTTTGATTTCCAATGTATTTTATAAAGGATGTCAAACTAAAGCCAGTCACACAATCCAATATATTCACTATCTTCAACTACTCAAATATTTTAAAATAGCTTTTAAAAGATCTATTTGATAAACGTTGGAAAAAGCATTAGATTTAACGTTTATTTGTGATAATTCCCGATTTAAAAGTCAATGAACTTTTGTTAGAAATGGATTATGGTATGAAAAATTAAATTTAATTAATATACAATAAAGAAGGTTTTATGCGTGACTCAGCTGTTATTGTTGTAGGCATTTATGGATTTAATTTACATTGTTTTTAAGCATCTTGTTGAGTTTTTATTTAGTTTTATTTATTAAAAAAAACATTAAAAAACTGAATGTAAGAACTGTAGCTATACAGTCATATGTTTACATTACTGTTTTTCATTACAATGTTGTTGTTTTTTTATCACTGCTGCTTACCTTATCAAGGCTGCACTTTAAAAAAATTAAATAGTCTAGAGAGCTGTTCTTAACGAAATTTCTATTGGTATACACCTGTGTGTACAAAATTACAAAATGAAATCTGTCTTAGTCTATCTTATTGGCTTTAAATAAGTTATTTTAACATGTACACTTTACAGTTTTAATATGTTTTATAGTAAGATAGAGATATTTTCCAGATGTGAATTTAACATCTGATGGAGCTCATCTCAGTATTTGTTTACATAAAACAGTGTGCTTTACTATTAAACTCTTTAATATATTTAGATTTGATAAATGGTACTGAGGTTTTGTGCTTAGACTTGCTTTATAACCTACTTATTTTAGCAATAGCCTGCAGTCTACCTAAAAAAAGAGAAAATGTTCACCTCATCTTGAACCAAATCAGCTTTACTTTAAAAACATAAGTGATGCAATTTTCTCCAGCTTGCATCTTTAAAGGGGTGACAAAGGTATACACATTTGTTATTTAAGTAGAAGTATAAATACTGCAGTTTAAAAACACTGTGGTAAAAGTTGAAGTATCAACTTGACCTCTTTAATCAAGTAAAAATGGGAAAGTATGTGCTCCAAAAACTACTTAAAGTATAAAAGTATAAAGTAACCTTGAAAAAAAAAAACCAGCCAGATGCTGCTATATGAATTGAAAGCTCAATTTTTTGACTATTTCGAAAACTTCTTTGAGATAGGGCCAAGGATGAGTGAGGTCTTGTTGGTCTCCGTCTCCATCTCCCGATACGCTCTCGTCTGTGTCCGACCTTTCAGACATTTCAACATCTTTTTCTGAATCCGACATTGTAGCATGGCATAGACAATTCACGTTTACAGTTTGAAGAACACCTGCTTGCTTCTGATGATTTCCTTGAGGTAACCAATGAGTGTTTGACTAGATGTGGATGGTGCCAATGATCTGTATTGGATGGCACACATGACGTGAAATACAATTTTTTTTAAACATTAAACCGAAGCCAAGAGTAGCGAGTAACGGTGGTTTTAAAAATGTAAGGAATAGAAAGTACAGATACTTGTATGAAAATGTAATGAGTAGAAGTCAGAAGTAGGAAGAAAAAATAGTAATGGAGTAAAGTATAGATACCTAAAAAGTGTACTTAAGTACAGTAACAAAGTATTTCTACTTCGTTACTTGACACCTCTGCTTTTTTCACAGCCATAAAATGGCAATTCATATTTTTTTTAGCCAGCTGACCAGCAGTGGGTAGCACTACCACATAAACAGCCAGAAGAAAATATAGGAACGATATGACTATACATTTCAGTGGATTGAAATAATCACTTTTAATTCCTAATTATTATATATAATTATTATTATATAGAAAAAAGTATCTCTGAACATCTTGGCTTCAATTCTTAAAAAAACAAAAAAACAAACCAAAAGTTTCCTAGTCAAGGTTTTAGTTGTTATTTTGAAGATTGAAATTAAAATTGACATTTAAATTTAGCTCTTCATCATAAACAACAAAGTCGAGCTCTTTTCTAATGATGGAAAAAAGAAAAAAAAAGAAGAAGCATCACTTAGTTAAAACATCCCTGGGAAATTGACATAAAATTTAAAGAAGAGTCTTCCATCTCAGATTATTTCCATTTGTTACTAACATTATTACTAGCCCGGTTTAGAAAAAAATTGAATGACATATATGTAAATATTATTTAAACTATTCCCCAGCCATGTCTGCTTCCGCAACACACAGTGTACTTGTCTCGCCAAACAACGGTGCTCTGTTGACTAAGGAGTCATGAGTGTTGTGACAAATGTTCATTTGGGATTTTTTTTCCTGCCATCATATTACTAAGAAAGTGTGTTCCAAAAATCGGCATCTCTTTATAACAATTCCTGGTCATTAAAAAAGAAAAATCTAAAATAATGTTCTGTTTTTTACTTTTCTAAGAATCTATATAGATGAAAATAACATGTTTTCCCATTTCTATTTGGACAAATCACAACTTCCTGTAATGGAATCCTGTAAATTGTGCAGTCATCTTAAATTTTATGATTCACCCAAGAAGATTAGCCTGATAAACCAGACTAAATGTGAGATTAAATGTGTAATGTGCAGGCAAAGTGGTTTTGGCCGCTGGCGGTTGGGGCTAGTTTACTAGGCTACAAGAAGATCCTATTTTAACTGGATTTAGCTGCGTAGTTTCAACACACTGAGGCTTTATCCTTCATATGTAAAATTTCAACACTTCCTGACTGGGGCTGGCATGTAAAAACCAGCCTGCCGGCGTGAAGGCAGTGAACATGATTTCTCACTTCAGCATATGTGTCCATCTTCTCATGTTTTTTTTCTTTTTGGTTTATTTGTTTTTCAGAGAAGGCAACAAATGAAAACAACACAACAGATGACTGGGGGCTCATTTTGGACATCTGTGACAAAATTGGAACGACATCTAATGGGTAAGATAGAAAAAAGCAGTCCAGTCAAAATATCAAGAGAATTTTTATGAGGATGATTGCAAAGTTTTTCTGTTTTTAGACAGCAAAAATAGTCTTAAGATGTGATACCATACAAGCATCTACTCTTCAGGCACAGTTTCCTGTTCTAGTGTTATTTTGCTGGCATTTACCTTTGTTTTGTTTTTCTGTTCTGCTACAGACCAAAGGACAGCTTGAGATCCATAATGAAGAGAGTCAACCACAAAGTGCCTCATGTTGCTATGCAGGCCCTCAATGTGAGTTTCAGTCAGCTTTTTGGGAGTAAATACGAACTGAACTAATACTTAAAGGTATAGTGGAGAATGTTCCTTTTTCCGGGTGCATCATCTAAGTAAGTGGTCTTCTTAATCGTCAATCATTCTGGTGATATGTTCACGTAAAGGCTGATTTATACTTTGAAACTAGGTCGTCTGCGTGTGTGTCACAGTGAACACAGAGATGTCCCCGCCCCTTCCGTAGACACTCTTGTGCACCTCTCCCAAATGTAGTGGACCGCAGACAGTGCCACAGACAGGAGGCCTCTAATTTATCTGCAGCTTGTCCGCTCCTGTGCGCAGGCAGTGGATGCGCTGTCTGACTTCATTCAACCTGTGGTTCTCTCAACCTGTGTTATTCAAGCAGGACTTCCATCTTCCAAGTCCCTAAGTGAAGCTCTAGTATCAGCTTATACAGTCCACTGGATCTACCAATAAAGCTGAGCATACTGTCTCCATAACCAGCAGTCTACAGACTGACCATCTATCTCCACTCCCCCACCAGTTTCAGGCCTGGGGGAGAAACAGCCCTATTCTTTGTTCCTGTTAATGCATATCTATCAAAATTGAGAGCTGTTTCCTGCCGAGGTCTGAGCGCCAAAAACAAAGTAATTGTATAAATAAATTTCTTCTAATGTCTTTTTGCTGCAGGAGTATAACCATCCGTTAAAGCCCTCCTACGTGCTCGTCACCATTTTCACTTAGAAAAACCTGGTTGCAGAGAATGACCTCCCCTCTCGCACACTGATGAGAAAACAGATTGAAATATGAACAATAAGAGAACTTGTGAACATTTTTTTTATGTTTTATGCATGGATGCCCTAAATTTTAGGGTTTTGGTGGACAGATAAAGTCGAATGAACACCATTTTACTTGACTGGAGACACGTTTTAGTCGATGTGCTACAGTCGGTGTCCGATGAATATATTCTCTGCTCAGTGGATGGCATTTCCGGCTTTTGCTATCAACACCATTCTATATAATTTCTGACAAAACATTAAGAATATGTCTAAAAGTTTCCTTTTTCATTTATATTTCAATCCATTTTCTCATCTGTGTGCGAGAATTTAGGGCGATGCACGCTCCGGCGACAGGGGTGGTAATTCTATGCAGGCAGGAATTTCTCTGCATTTATCTGTCCACCAAAACTCTCAATGTTAGGGCATCCATGCATAAGAAATAATAATGAAAATATTAAGAATATGTTTAAAAGTTCCCTTTTCTTTCATATTCAAATTTGTTTCTCATCAGTGTGTGAGAGGGGAGGTAAATCTCAGCATAACACGGTGGTGAGTCTGACAGAGGAAAAATTGCAAATCGCCTTTTGGAAAGTAAGCTTATATGAGTGATTCAAAAAGCAACTTTGAAACGGAGCGTGCACGAGGAGAAAGGGGCTCCTGCACGCTCTCGCACATGTTTAATAGGCGTTCCCTCTTGGGAGCAGGTATAGGGTTGTGCATGTGCATTTTTTTTTTATTAAAAGTGGAGAGGGCGGGTCTTTTAAAAAAAATCTTGAAAATCCTCCACCATACCTTTAAGTATTTGCATAACTTTGTGCACATGATGACGTTCTTATTATGCTTTATTAATGGAAACACCCTGAATGTCATACAACAGTGTCTCTTCAATCAGGGGGCTTCTCCAGACCAGGTGTAAGACAGACAGCTACAGGAGAACCCTCCTGCCTACAGCAGTCAGAATCTACTACGGCCTTTAAAAAAACAACTTCATAATTATGACAGCATTACTTCTTTTACCTTAGAGGTTGTAAAATTCGGGATTTGCTAAATTGGGCATTTCAATTGTTATTGTGATAACTTTGTAGTAATATTTTTCTTTTTAATTTTTCCCACTGAGGCATTGGCAAATTCCAGTTATATGATTAATTGCAGCCGCTACATTTAGTAATAAAACCCTTGATTCTTTATGTAACATGTGTCTGTAAGAAGTCATTTTCAAATTGTATATTTTTAAGTTATTGCGAGGCTCTGGTAGCTGTGGCATTGATTCACAGCTACTAAACACCCGAGAACAACTGTTATCAGGATAGTACCACAAAATATCATCAGATTTTAAGGCCATATCTCCCAGCCATATTGATAAAGTAATTGGGAATTAAATTAAACTGAAATTAATTGAACTTGTTTATCCTAAAACGCTAAAACCCTATCCTAAAATCCTAATTTTATTTTTTTTTTATAACAAAACATTATGAAATAGAACCTTACTTTATTTTTGATAGATCCGATAATATTTCATAGCATTTCAATTGAACCTATTTATTAAAAATGTGTCAATAAAGACGTCATTTTTTTCCGGGCATTGATTTTACCAAACTTGTTTCTTAATTAAGTTATTTCATCTGATGCAGTTATTGTAGGAAGCATTTAAAACCTAAACATTTAGGCTAAAATTATACATTAAAAAAGCTTATGTGCAGTTTTCTTTTGAAATTTTGGAAACTAATTTATTTTAAAGCTGATCTTAAAAATGTTTTCACTAATTTAATGTCAGTTAAAGACCCGTGCTTCAGTAGAGGAATCTTTTTTTTTTTTTAATAATTTTTAGATATTTATATACCTTTCATTGTTCTATGAAGCCCTGATTTAACCTTATTTGCAGATAATGCTTTAATCCTGACCCTTTTTGTTGTTATTTAACCACTTGATCAACCTGTAATGAATATTAGAACTGAATAATTTTGTCTGTTTTTCTTTGCTGACGTTAAATTTCACTGCGTTGTGTTACAGCTGCTTGGTGCTTGTGTCTCCAACTGTGGCAAAATCTTCCATTTGGAAATCTGCTCAAGGGAGTTTTCTGCTGAAGTGCGGAGTGTGTTTAACAAGGTATGTGACCCTCAGTGGGCCATTTGTTTTTTTATTTGTACTTTGAAATTTTGCATCGGGGTTAGAGGACACGCAACCCCCTGGATTTAATTAAGGCATATGGTTAGATTGTCCCTTGAGAAATGTGACACTCCTCCGTCTTGGCTTGAAGGTTCCATGTAAACATGTAACTTGCAGTAAATGTCGATGCTGCAGCTGTCAGAATACTTTTTATGCTTGGTTTACATAAGAAAGAAATGTTTAATCTAAATCATATAAATAAGATGTTATAGAGGTTTTTCCTTAAACTAGTCTAAACAGAAATATATTTTTAAATTGTCTTTTGCTAATAAGGAAATAAAAGACGGAAAATATCTTGGCTGCAACTAACGATTATTTTGGAAATCGATTCATGTGTTGATTATTTTTCCTATTAATCAATTCTATAAAGAAGACTTGTTATGAAATTAAGGGACTTGTCCATTTGAGGAGCTCTGAATAGAGCATATTGACATAATATATATATTTTTTTTATCTTAAATGCAAAATGTGTTTATATTTGTTTACAATTTTAGTATAATTACTGCTCTTAGTGGGTCGCTCTGTTAGCTAAAGGCCTGTTTTAGTGTCTCTATAATCCAGTTAATGATTAATCGATTATTAAATTAATTGACAATTATTTGAATAATTAATTGTTTTATCCCTAGAAAATATGTTATTTTGGCCCCTAGAAGGATCCTTAGCTTTTTTAGGTTGTTAAGTTTGCTGCTTAAAAAGATGAATAAACAAAATGGAGTCCACTGAAACAATTGTTAGGTTAAGGTTTCCGAAGGTGATATTAATGTCGGTTTCATGCCCTCTGCAGGCCCACCCTAAGGTCTGTGAAAAGCTGAAGGCAATGATGGTGGAGTGGGCAGAAGACTTCCAGAAGGATCCACAGCTCAGCCTGATTGGTGCCACCATCAAGACCCTGAAAGAGGAAGGGGTCAGCTTCCCAGCAGCCTCCTCACAGGTGGGTGTAGAAATCTTAATGTGAGTGTTTGATGCGCTCAGCCTCAAACCCTTTAGTTCACATCTATTTAGTCTGAGTCTGCTGATGGGTTTGTTATCTCGATACTTTTTCTGGTTGTTCATTTATTTTCACATGAAGTAGATTACGGGTTAACCAAAACCACCGCGTGGGAACATTGGGTCTGTTTATTGGTCAGATGTGACCTGGACTGGAGAATCAACTGTTAATACAGGAAGTAGATGCTGTATCCTGAGCTGGTTGAAAAAAACAGAGCATTAAAATCAAATATTAAAATTGTTTACTCCACTGCATCCCGTCCCTGTAGTGCAAACATCTGCAGCTCTTCTTTAGGTCCTTTTGACTTAAAGGAGTCAACTCAGAGTTTCCTTTAGGTCCAAAATTAAGACTCAACCGTCATTTTCAGTTCAGTTTACTGTACTATAAGCAACTATTTTTTTATACTTTGAGCCACACGGCTTTTACGACGTTGGGGCTTTTCTGTGTAGTTTTCCTAACTGCAGGTGATGGAAGTCAATTTTCATTTAAGACCAGCATGTTCAAGGCACAATAGAGAATCAATGTCAACTAAATTCACACATTTTGACCATATCTTAAGGCACTTAAATGGTTCAACTTGATCTAATAACTAGTGGGGAGTATTGGCATGGGTGTTGCGATACGATCCATGTCAGGATACTTTATTCACGATACGATATTATCATTATATTGCAATATCAACATATATTGCAATATTTTTCCTGCTATTAAAATTAAATGTATAGATAAAAAAGCAAGCTCTGTATATGTTCACCAGATTATATTAATCGTTCAGTTATTTTGGTATCGATTTTGTTTGGGGTTTGAATTAGTCCACATCTTCCACTGTGACCGTCTCAACTATAGATATTGCGCTGCATTGCAAAGCAATAGTGCTCCACAGCGTTATATGCTAGAATAGTGGGACATAGGTAGTCCATTCTCCCTCAAGTTTAGATAAAAATTAGTGATGGTATGATTAAGCCTCGTGAGGCCTTGAACCGTTTGGCCAAATTGCTTTAACTATCCTCACAGTTCATGAAGCCTCATGTGAATATGTCACCATCTACTGGTGGAATGCAGAACTACAGTTTGTAATAAAATTGTGATTTCTTTTTTTTTTTTGCAATTGTTTTTCTTTTGTTTCCCCTTTTAACTTCCTTTGAAATTGCTAATAATTGGTGTGTATAATAAAATCTTTTGTAAGTTTTTTTAGTGTACAGTTTCTTAGAACAATCATTTAAGGTGCACAGTTTTTCTGCAATTTTAGTGAAATAAACAAGCAGACGGTGAAAGTGTTTATGCAAATTGGACAGTGATGAACAAAATGAAAGGTGTTAGTCATTTTTATTCAAACATAATAGTTTTTCCACAGTTTTTGGTTTTAATCTGGTTGGAAGTTGTGTTCAACCAATCTTTTGGTTAAACTGATCTTATTTGGCAGCGTTTTTACCCAATCTATATATTTACTAGGGCAAACCATTGCAAATTAGTCTCATTAGCAAAGTTACGATCATACTCATTAAGTATGATCGTAACTTTCAAAAGTCAAAGTTAAGTCTTGAACCATCAACCTCAGGAGTGGGAGTCTTTGTCTTACAGATGACACCACTTATGTGGTCAACTGTTCACTGGAGAAAATACTACTTAACACTAACGTTACAACTGTGTCTAGTGGCTTGCTCAGATTTTTATCATTACAGTGTTTAATCTAACCAAAATAGTTTTAAGCAACTAGATTGGTTGGAAAAACAACCAATCTATTCTTAGAATCTTTCCAAACTCTATCCAACTGACAGCAACTCTCCTACAAACTCCCACATCTTGAATGGAAACTGAGGCTATTTAAATGCCTGTCAAAATTCTTGCGCTTTCTGAACCACTTCCCGAAGCGATCACATGGTATCACGGTAGCGAGGCTTTGGACGTCATAAATTTTGCCCCCTACTGTAAATGAATCACGCCTCGACACGCGCTTCGGGGAAACACCCCTTCATTACTCGACACACGCCTCCAAGCCTCAGCTCTTCTCATAACATTACTAATAAAAAAAATTTTGTTTTAAAAAAACAAAACCAAATTGATACTAGGAACTGAAAGATCGATAATATATCAGGCAGCCAAAAATCACGATATATTGCCAAAACATTTTTTTTCCACACCCCTACTAATAACACATGCAGACAGTTTAGTTGTGATCTTCTATCAAAGGAAACCCATCAGTCAGTCACCTGCATTGTGTCCTTGATTTTGCAGCAATCTCTCACACTGATTAAGGCCCAATCTCAATGTCCCTCAATGTTTAAAGATAAGTAAGTAATATGCATTTGACCTGAGACAACTTTGAAACATTTTGTTTTAAATGTAAATTGTCTTATTCCATTGGCAAAAGTTTCTGACTTACCTCCTCAATTAAAAGAAAATGCACTAAGAAAAAAATTACTTCTCTAGATTTTTTTTTTCCAGGGCTGATACATAGGGGTAGGGGGTGCATTGAGATTGGCACCTAAGTATTTAAAACTATAGTTAAAACTAACTATAAAATGGACTGATGTTTAAATGCTTGTTGGAAATTAGTGGCTAAATCTGTTTCCTTTAGTTTAGATATTCAGAATTGGATGTCCTTCATCCTACCAACGTTTATAAGCTCCACATAGCATATTGTGTCATGGAGTTTTTGTATAGGAACACTAAAAAAGCTTTATTTCTTAGTCAAATAACAAGCTCCTTACATCTTCCTCTGACCACAAATGTCTTCCAATCTGGATCATTTGTGCTCTAAAATGTTGCGGCCTTCTCCTGAACAGTAGAATAAATGATTTATTTTCCTAATGGGATTTTTGCTCAGTGATTTAAAAACTTGAAGGTTGTTATTTTTTATTGATTCATAGTAAAATAATCAAATAACTGTGTAAAGTCTCCATGAAAACATACTTAACTAAATATACTTAACTTAACATACTTTCACACCCTCTGCACCACGTGGTGTTCATGCTTACTAGTTTATTATCCACCCAACTTCCTGAAAATACCATATATATATATATATATATATATATATATATATATATATATATATATATATATATATATACAAACTTCTCATTAAATACACTTCAGTTCTACCAGTTTAGATCAATAAAATCACTGAGTTTGTCTTAAATGCCACTTATAGACTTTATTCTTATTTAGTTATTTGTCTATATCAATGTTTCCTTTTGCCTTTTAGATCCTGGTATTTTATTTATTTGTTACTGATTTCTTCCAATGTGTTCTGTGACAGAAGATTTCAATTTCAGAAGAAAAAAAGATTTCCTTTGGTTTCTGCTCCATCATGTGATTTTGGACCTTATGGAACTGTCTGAGTCATGAGTTGAAGTAGACTTTAAGCCCAAGCTGTTGTAAAGATTTGGACCTATTATTTCCTTCTATTCGTCTAATAGGAGTGTTTTCTTTGTAGGAATATAAAGGTATTTAATATCTTATTCAAAGCTGTATGTAACACTGCAGCCAGAAACCTCAGACCAGTTCAAAGTGATACATGATTATGTTAATTTGAAAGTTAAGAACTACTTAGGGCTGTTTTTGTTCACTACGTTTTAACAGTTTGGGTTTAACAACAAAAATGGTCTTTATTTAGCAGTCAGGTGACGCCTGAGGTCATTTTTAATTGTATTGTGTTTAAATTAGAGCTATTAAAGAAAAGGCAGCTGGTGCCAAATAGATGCCAAATGGTATTTGAAAAAAAGGTGTTAACAATGTCTGGGTTTCCACTATAAGTGCTACTTTTTAAAGGTACATGTTTAAAAATAAATGTGCAGGACAATTTATTTAGAGGTCAGTATTCCATCGTCAATTATAAAGAAGGAACATTATTAATTTAAAGAATAGATTTTTTGACCATAAAGTTGTGAAAAGCCTCCTCCAATAGTCTGCTGGTCTTATTGCCTCTGTTATGGAGGCTCATTGGTAGCAGGTGACACAGAGGCAGCAGGTATGACATTTAATCTGTAAAAGCTCATGATCCAAGTATCAGCATGTTGCATGGCTCAAGCTGTGTCAGTATTTACCTTTTCCTACAATCGATTCTGTGAGCTCAAATGTCATTTGTCCTTTAACATTTAAACACGATCAGATATAAAACATTATTTGTCATTTTTTAAAACTTTTTAAAACAAAAAGGGAGGGAAAAGCACACACACCGAAAAATAAAAAAACTGTAGCTATATATATATATATATATATATATATATATATATATATATATATATATATATATATATATATATATATAGCTATATATATATATATATATATATATATAGCTATATATATATATATATATATAGCTATATATATATATATATATATATAGCTATATATATATATATATATATATATATAGCTATATATATATATATATATAGATATATATATATATATATAGCTATATATATATATATATATATATATATATATATATATATATATATATATATATATATATATATATATAGCTATATATATATATATATATATATAGCTATATATATATATATATATATATAGCTATATATATATATATATATATAGCTATATATATATATATATATAGCTATATATATATATATATAGCTATATATATATATATATAGCTATATATATATATATATATATATATATAGCTATATATATATATATATATAGCTATATATATATATATATATATATATATATATATATATATATATATATATATAGCTATATATATATATATATATATATATATATAGCTATATATATATATAGCTATATATATAGCTATATATACACACACACACACACTCACTGGCCACTTTATTAGGTACCCCATGCTAGTAACGGGTTGGACCCCCTTTCGCCTTCAGAACTGCCTCAATTCTTCGTGGCATAGATTCAACAAGGTGCTGGAAGCATTCCTCAGGGAGTTTGGTCCATATTGACATGATGGCATCACACAGTTGCCGCAGATTTGTCGGCTGCACATCCATGATGCGAATCTCCCGTTCCACCACATCCCAAAGATGCTCTATTGGATTGAGATCTGGTGACTGTGGAGGCCATTTGAGTAGAGTGAACTCATTGTCATGTTTAAGAAACCAGTCTGAGATGATTCCAGCTTTATGACATGGCGCATTATCCTGCTGAAAGTAGCCATCAGAAGTTGGGTACATTGTGGTCATAAAGGGATGGACATGGTCAGCAACAATACTCAGGTAGGCTGTGACGTTGCAACGATGCTCAATTGGTACCAAGGGGCCCAAAGAGTGCCAAGAAAATATTCCCCACAGCATGACACCCCCACCACCAGCCTGAACCGTTGATACAAGGCAGGATGGATCCATGCTTTCATGTTGTAGACGCCAAACTCTGACCCTACCATCCGAATGTTGCAGCAGAAATCGAGACTCATCAGACCAGGCAACGTTTTTCCAATCTTCTATTGTCCAATTTCGATGAGCTTGTGCAAATTGTAGCCTCAGTTTCCTGTTCTTAGCTGAAAGGAGTGGCACCCGGTGTGGTCTTCTGCTGCTGTAGCCCATCTGCCTCAAAGTTCGACCTACTGTGCGTTCAGAGATTCTCTTCTGCCCACCTTGGTTGTAACGGGTGGTTATTTGAGTCACTGTTGCCCTTCTATCAGCTTGAACCAGTCTGGCCATTCTCCTCTGACCTCTGGCATCAACAAGGCATTTCCGCCCACAGAACTGCCGCTCACTGGATGTTTTTTCTTTTTCGGACCATTCTCTGTAAACCCTAGAGATGGTTGTGCGTGAAAATCCCAGTAGATCAGCAGTTTCTGAAATACTCAGACCAGCCCTTCTGGTACCAACAATCATGCCACGTTCAAAGTCACTCAAATCACCTTTCTTCCCCATACTGATGCTTGGTTTGAACTGCAGGAGATTGTCTTGACCATGTCTACATGCAAGTGTTAACAAGCAGTTGGACAGGTGAACCTAATAAAGTGGCCGGTGAGTGTATATTAAGGGTGGAACGGTTCACAAAATCCACGGTTCGGTTTGGTTCACGGTTTCGTGGTCACCGTTTTTGGTTCGGTCCGGTATATGTTGATTGTTACACCGAAATTCCATAAAAATTTATGAAAAAATACAAAAAAAAATTAATGAATTGTCATTATTTTTAATGATCCGCAGAAACCCTGGATCATTTCCGCATGTTTTGCTGCTTTGAATTTAATCATCTCGCGCATGCTCTCTACGATCTCCAAGGAAATCTGAGCACGGAGCGAACGGGAGCCAGCGCGGAGGCTGTAGACGGCTCCAGGCCGCCTTGCTTTGTGCAGGCGGTCTGGAGCGCAGCGGGGGTTGCTGACAGAGTATGAGGGATTTCGGGGTTAGCATGACATGTTGGTCATGTTGCTGTTAGCATAAACAAAACGTGTTGCACAATACTTGCACACTGTTGCACTTTTATCCACAACTTTCTTTCCGTCGTCATCGTAGGTCACTCTAAATGCAAAGTGGTCCCATACAGAAGACCTATAAAGTGCTGCTGGCGCGTCTTCCAACTCCTGCTCTTTCCCTCGCCATACCCACACAATTCTCCACAACAACTGATTTTTTTCTGCTACACCCGGCTACGCTGCTTCGCTTCTTCTTGTTTACTACTGGTGGTTGGCTTTGGTCGCAGTACCGCCACCTTCTGCTCTGGAGTGTAAACGCTTCGCCTATGAGAAAAAGGGGCAGCGCATGAACCGAACGAAACACACGCGAACCGAACCGATACAGTCGAACCGAACGGTTCCCACGGTTTTCATAAACCGTTCCATCCCTAATAAATATATATATATTTATTTATATATATATATATATATATATATATATATATATATATATATATATATATATAAATAGGGCAAAAATAGCAATGGCTGATGTGAAATCTGTCCAATTATACAACAGAATAACTAAAATAAAACATGAGGGAAAAGAAAAACATCTACAGAAGAACACCTATGATTGCTTTTCTTTTTATTTGAATCAAATTGCTGGAAAATAATCTGTTCGCTGTTGTTTCTTTTCTGGCCACAGCAGAAGCAAAGCTTATTAAGTCAACTACAGATGGAGAGTTTTTTGTTTTTTTATGAAAGAATTCCTATTTGTTTTGTTTTCCCTCTTTGTTTTATATTTATTGGTAGTAAAACTTCTCTGATGGCTGAGATGAACTCTGCTGAACTACATGCAGTTCTCAGAATGAGCTGTAGGTGGCAGGAAACCAGGTTTTGAATGTTTGGTCTTTGTGCAGCCCTCTCTCCTTTCCTCCTCACCCACGAATGTGACCTTATGCTTCTTTATTGATTACAGGGATCCAGCTCAAAGGTCAGCGCACCGGCTGCAAGCAAGACACCGGATGAAGAAGACCTGGCCAAAGGTAAAGATAGATGTCGCACATTTTACTGTTTGGCGCCTTATAGCCATTTTAATTGGTAATTTTAATACTATTTTTGTAGTCATATTTTAAATTTTTTTAATGATCTATCTTTCTTTTTAGATGGACAATATCTGAGGATTTAGAAACTGTCTTTTTTTTCTCCACCCTCTGCAGCCATTGAGCTGTCCTTACAGGAACAGAAGCAGCAAGCGGAAACACGACCTCTGGTCCTGACCCCCGACCCGCCACACAACACAAACGGGGGAGGAGGTCAGGAGACGCGAAAAGCGCGCGCACTGTACGACTTTGAAGCAGCAGAAGACAACGAGCTCACCTTTAAAAGTGGAGAACTTATTATAGTTTTGGATGACAGGTAGTGTTTCTTCATCTCATATTTATGAGTCAGATCTGTATTATGTCCAAACCTTAAAAATCATCCCCCTTCTTAAATGACCATCCCCAAAATCGATGTCTAGGGAATAAGATCGATTCATTATATAGTGACGCGCATGACGTTCACATTCAAATGAGCAGGAAAGATGCTGGAAATGGCTGCAAATATACCCAATAGCTTGACTGAAGACATTAACAAATGGGGGCTGATCAGAAAACACCCTGTAGTTGTTACAGACAATGCTGCAAATATGGTTTGTGAATTGAAGATAATGCAGCTCATGAATGTCTGCTGTGTCACATCTGCTTGCTCGAGTGAGGCTTCACTTTTTCACAAACAAGTTTGCACTTATGCGACACATTTGTTCACATCTCGGGTTTAAAGTGTCTGATTTACAAGCTTGCACTTTGGGCCGGATTTATCAAGATCCAATTTTGCGTGCAGTAATTTGCGCTCGCAAACTGGAATTTTGCGCAAGGGGCTGAACCATGGTTTGCGGGTGATTTAACAAGAGTGATTGCGTAACTGGTGGCAGGTGCAAAACTGTTGGAGACGCCCTATTTAAATGATGGTTTTGCGCATTTTGTGGTTTGCGGCATGGCGAGTTTGGACAGCAGAAAGCGCAAAAGGAAATTCGACCCCATGGAAATGGAGGTGTTGGTGGATGAAGCCAACAAACATTTAAGTGAGCTACAGCAAAGAAGTGTGACTGTCACACAGAGGAACGCTATATGTGAACAAATCTGTAGTAAAGTAAACGCTGTTGGTGAAACCTTGCGAACAGTGGATGAAGTAAAAAAAAAAAAAAAGATACCAGGATATTAGAAGGCGAACCAAAGAAAAACTGGCATATAACAAAACATCTGCAAACAAAACAGGAGGGGGCACAGTAGATGAGATGCCTCTGACCAACATTGAGGAGCAAGTACAGCTGACGCTGTGTGAGGAGCAAATCACTGGAATTGCAGCTCCAAAATGGCAATGCTGGATAAACGATATGTTTTGATGATCGTTTCCTCGTTCATTCCAAAAATATTCACACGGAGTGAAAAAATGCGTTCTCTGCGTCTCCTTGCTTCATTTCGATGTCTCCTTCTTGCGACAATAACCGCTGCCATGTGTGCGCAATTACGCATACAGACCATTTGCACCTTCTTTTGAAACGTGTTAAATATAGAGTCAGATACCGTTAGCAAAATTGCTTTCAGGTTTAATAAATCACTTTGCGAGTGCTAAATTAATATATTTACATGTTCTCCTCCCACAAGACGCACTTTTGCGTGTAAACGCCCCATATTGCATATTCATTGCAGAAAAAGTACTAAATGGATAAGAGGCGCTATCTAGCACGTTTTAAAGACCAAATCCTTTTAGCACACTGTTGATAGATCAGTTTGTACATTTTTTAGCGTGCGCAGTGAAATAGCTCACGTTTTTATACACGCAAACCTTTGATAGATCCGGCCCTTTGTGTTTAATATGACAGGAAAAAACAAAATACATGAGTATTTTGAAACACAGTTGAACCACTTTCATTATTGTAAAAACAGATCCAATCGAAATTAATCGATTTAGTACTGAATGAATCAAAATCGAATCGATTCAGGACTTTGGCGAAAATACCCATCCCTAGTAGCCAGAGCAAAAAAAAAAAAAAAAGAAGTGTCCTACCATGACAGTGAAGCTGATCCTAGTGGGAAATGAACAACCATACCATGCATGTTGCTTTGGGTTAATAGACTATATTAATTAGGCTATGTATGCTTCCAAAAAAAAACTGGATCTGTTGAGCTGAGAGTGCAGATTTTGTCCAGATTTATGGTTTATGACTGAAATAAATGATCGGATCCGCTCTGATTGATTGATCATAGAAATAGTGGTCAACCAACTTAGCAATCAAATTATATAGATTCTAAAACATCCAACTTGCTGAAACTGAAGCCACACCATATCATTCTTTTGCTATTTAAAAATCTGTTAATCACAAAAACAGTCTTCAGATTAATTAATTTGCAAAACTAATCTTTAGCTGCAGACTAAGATTTGTATAACAGAAGGACTCTTAATAGAATATCATTAATATTAGGGAAAAAGGATGAACTTTGAGAATATTTCTTTGAAGGTTTTCTACCATGTTTGCTTATTTAACAATTAAATTGGAAGCTGAGTTTTATTTATGTTTTATGAATATTTTTAAAGCTAAGCCAAAATGAACATGGAGTTTACATTTTAAACCACCTTTAACAGTTTTTCCTGGAGAATGCTGATCCCCATCTTAACTTTTGAGATTTTCCAAAGGGCTCAGCTGTTTCCACATCGAATCTGAAGTCGGAAACCTAGAAGGATGAAGCAGAAGAGCTTGACTGCAATATGCTTAGCCTTCCTGTTATCTGCTGAGATCCTTACACTCTCCTATTGCTTCACTGAACATATCTAAACATGTTGAATAAAATCAGGTTCCTTTTTAAATGTTCACCTGAAACTGACTTAATACTGAAAATGATGATTTCTAAAGGATGGGATAGTAAAAGTTTTCAAGATCCTTATATAATCTTTAAAATCTTAAAATGTGTTCAGTATATGGAGGGAAAGAAAATCTTATCTGAACATTTTCATAATTTTATCCACCACTTTATCCATTTCTAATACATCTCAGCTTTTTGCTTTTTATTGTCTAGAAATGAGAATATAGAAGCAAACTGGTTCAGGTTTCCGTAGCAATTTTCCTCCAGAGGCTGTTATGTTTTAATAAAATAATGTCTCATATTTCAGGTGATGTTTTAATCCTAGATTAAAGTTTATTCTCGTTTAGATTTATGCCTAATCTAATTTCCTCTCCTGTGGCTGTAATTCTTCTCCTGGTGGTTGAGATTGATTGCATGTTTGCCTAAATTGTGTCCATGAGTTCATGAGAATTCAAATTAGCTATATTTTCTTTTTTTGTGGGCTGCAGTGATCCAAACTGGTGGAAAGGAGAAAACCACAGAGGAGTTGGGCTTTTCCCCTCAAATTTTGTCACAACTGACCTGAATGCTGACCCAGAGCCAGGTCTGTGTGTAGTTTTTATTTCTCTCATGCTTTGCTTTTACTGGTTTCTCTGCCCAGCCCCCTGATTAACTGTATTGTTTCTAATGATTCTCCTTCCCATCACAGTGGCCATCATTGAGAAGTCAGCCACGCCTGAAGAGACAAGTCTGGAAACTAAAGCTGAGCCCGAACCTGTCTACATAGATGAGGTAACACGCTTCTTTATAAATAAAGTTATATGAACACAAGTCACCTCCAAACTAAACCACCTATAAAAATCTACTGTTATCCATCTGCAGGTGAAGATGGACAGAACACTGGCGCTCTTACAGAATGCAGATCCCGCAGATGCGACTCCTGACTCCACAGAGCTAATCCAGCTGGAAGGTATAGACTTAGATGCAGCTGTATATCTAGACACGCTGCGACAGCTGCAGTCAGCCTTAATCAACCGTTAACTTTTCCTTCGTTTCCCGACCGAGCAGGCGCCTGCGAACAGATGAATCCGCTGATTGATGAGAAGCTTCAAGAGATTGACAGGTGTTGTCTTGTCGGTTTTCACCATATGTAAAAGCAAGAGCTAATTCCGAACGCCGTTGCGTAACCTTCCCTTTCTGTCTTACAGGAATCACTCGGAGTTGTCGGAGTTGAATCTGAAAGTTATGGAGGCGTTGGAGCTTTACAATAAGCTCATGAACGAAGCTCCTTACTACGCCGCATACTCCAAGATGCAGGCACAGTACGGCCCGGCCGCCTCTTCGGTGCCCATGCAGGTCAGAACAGAACACAGCTGCCCTGCCTGAAGCATTAGGCTTTATCAGTCTTGTTTCTTTACCTCTATATAACATCACTATCATTTAGCCTGAGCTTCAGCATCTCATTCAAAATAGATTTGCATCCAGTTATGCTCCAGTCTCATGGCTGACTATGCAGATTAAGCTTTAAATTTCAACAGTCTACCAAATAATGCATCCAAACAGACCTTCGCTATTTTCATTTAGCAAAATATAGATATAATGCATGAATCCATTGTAAACCTGTGGCATATGTTGGTAGGTCAATAAATAATAGAGCATTTTGAAAAAAGAAAATATTAATTTATTGTTAACCTCTCAGAACCCGTTTTAAAGCGTTTTCAAATAATAAGTCAGAATGCATGAAAATTACACTGGTAAAATGTTTACCAATATAGACATGTTAGATATTGTTGACAAGCTTAGATTTCCTACATTTCAAGCATCTAGTTCATTTTATGGACACAGCGAGCAAAGCACAATTAACACATATAACAGCATGTCAAAATGTGCCATGACAAAGCAGCCACAACAAGCAAGCATGTCTTTATAACTGCTGTTCAAAAAAGACCTATTATTTTCGAGAATAAAAAAAACAATTTTGATTCTTGTTTGAACTGATGCAGCTTGGGCTTGATGCAGCTTGGGTTTTTTACCCACCCAATTCTGATTTTATATTCAGAAACTAGAAGGTGTTAGCTTTCAAATAATGTATCACACATGTGATTTGGGCTTACAGTTCCTCAGTTATTTGCCTTTCCATTTGGGTATGCAAAATAGGCGAGCATTTCCCAAAATGAGGTGGATATTAAGAGGTTAAACTTAGACACAAAATGCAGGGATAGAGTACTAGTTAAATTAAGTCTGATAAATGCTAGATTATTATAATATGGTCACTATTTAATTAAAGACACTGCCACCTTTAATGCTTAAGTTAGACCGCTATCCATTAATAACTAACTCATTGTATGGTTTGGTTTGTACTGAAGGAGCAAAGAGGGTTTGTTGTAATTACCAAAATGGTTCATAGAAGGGAAACAGTTGTTAAATAGTAAATGGCCTGTACTTATATCACTCTTGTTCAAGTCAGAAGCCTTCACCAGAGAGCTTTACACACATTCAGTCATTCACCCATTCACTCACACACAGATGATGGCAAGCTACATTGTAGCCACAGCTGCCCTGGGGCTCACTGACAGATGCAAAGCGACCATACACTCGTTCCACCATCATTAGGTAGTGAAGGGGAAGTGTCCTGCACAAGGACACAATTACACAATTACACAATTACACTTTGCAGGGCAAACTCTTTCATCCGATGCCACTGTCGCCCCACTGTTAGATAAGATGGCCAAGATCTTGGTTTCCCTACAGGAGTTCTTGCTCTTTCGTTATCTTTTTTTTTTTCAATAAAGTTGAGGGTTTTCTGAGAATTGATTAAAGTATTGATTCCTGTTTTCCTCAGGTAACATGTTAAGAATCAATTGGAAGCTGAGTGTTACATAATTTAACATTTGAGCCATTTTACAGTGCAGAAAGCTGAAGTGTAAAGATCCTGGATTCATATAAGATTTTCTTTGTTTGTAAAGTGTCTAACCAAAGCTTTCCTCTAACTGCATGATTAAATAACATCCCTTAATAGGCAAACATTTTTTTGGCAAACTGTGATTAAATGGAGGTAAAGGAGAAAGTGTTGAGGAAAAAGCCTGCGACTGCTTTACATTTAGGTTCATTTTTTTACCTTCTCTGGATATTTCTCCTGTTTTCTTCCTCAGTTTGTTCTCTGGGAGTCTTGAAATCAGCATTTCTTCTCCCCTTTGAGGAGCTGTAGCAGTTTTGCACTTTTTTTCCTTAGTGATGATTGATGCTGCTGACTCTCCCTGCAGCTTTTATAGTCTATCAATGTCACCACTTAGGTCTACACCTGAGTGCCCCTCAGTGCTGGATTTGACCTTGTTGGGGTTTTATTGTGTAAGGAGCTGATTTCAGAAAAACAGGTTTAGCAGGAACCTTTGTAGGAGCTTTTATTAGTGTTTTAATCTTTGGAAAATATTGGAGTTTAAAAAAGTATTTAGTAGTTTTAAAGCTCTCCATTTCCAGCTTATTCCTGGATGTCAAAATTAATATTTCTAATTTCAATTTTGTGTTTTTTTCATGTTAGTTTACCTCTTGATTGTTGAATTAACTTTTTAACCGTCAAGTTTTAATAGATTTAATAATGAATATGGTTTTAAGGGATAATACTTTAAGCTTCCTATTTTCTTAGGGTTACCTTGGACCAGCTGGCGTCCCCTACTTGCCTCCAGGTGTCCCCCAGGTTCCTCTTCCTCAGGGTTACGCTCTGCCCAACGACCAGCCTGGACCACTACACTCAATGCCCCCAACGGTCACAGCACCCCCCTGCAGCCAGGCCTCTCAGCCTCCCTACATGAGGTAAACGATTAGCCACGGGACAGATTGGAGGTCGTCAGTGTAGTCTAATAAAAGCAAGGCACCTTGCAAAATAATATTTTGCCCCTTAAACTGTTTCACATTTTATCATGTAACATCCAAAGACTTCAAGGGGGTTTCATCACCACGAGCTTCCACTGAACCAGTAAGCGCCGCAGAACGTAGATACACCAGGTTCTGCCAAGCACACACTTCTACCGTTTCAGAGCATCATAGTGCGATAGTATTATACATGTGAGCTTTAAAGTCGCAAGGAAGCAGCTGTTCCAACCGTTGCATTTCCGAATTCTCTCGAGTGGTTCACGACTTTACACGAGTGAATAAAGTGAATGTGATTGGTCATTTATCAAGAGGGCGGGATTGTTTTGGGGGAAGGTTCCCAAGCAAGTTTGGTTGTGGCTGGTTTGTCAGAAGCATCTTGCTAACCAGTTAGCAACTTAGTGCTAGTAGGTTCCCAATGGGAAATTCCATTGGGACCAAGTAGCACTAAATTGGGGACTTAGAAACGACGCTGTGAAGGAACGCTATGGACAGCGGAAACCTGCAAGATGAGGAGAGTTTTGTGTCGGAGGTCGTGGATGAGTCTTCTCCGTTATCCATTTTTTATTTAGAGGAGGAAAGCGGAGATGACGATGTAGTGGAAGAGGACCCCAGGGCGGCAGAAGCTTGGTTTGGTGTAGAAGGCTTACAGCCGTACATGTTTGAGCCCTTGCCTCGCAACGCTGCCAGTTCTGTTAGCTCTACCCCTGCTGAAGACATAGACGTCCATCCCCGTGAACACTGGGACGGAACTCAATGGGAGAGGAAATTATTCTTATTTCAATCGTTGCGAATATTAGCTGCGACGAATGAATAAAGATGCTATGACCGAAAAAATTTGATTGACAGATGACCGTTGATATATGATTGGCCGAATTTAGGTGAACAATCTGATGTATAACTAACTGGTCTGCATAAGATAACGGGAAAAACATGTTTTAAGACGGGACTTTTTCAAAATTTTGGGACAACATGGTCTTATAAAGAGTACATTTATATACATGTTTAAACCAGAATGATTTTACATTTAAATATGATTTCCCTACAACGTTAAAGTGAACTATAAAGTGGCTATTTGGCTACAACAACAGGTGTCTTGCATGGCTACTCTTCATCTGGTCACCTTACCTTTCAGCCCGTGCCTTTTACTTACTGTTTTTCTCTTTATAAAAACCGATGAGTCGTGTCATATAAAATGGTACATTTTGGGTTGGGGGCTTATGCGTTCAGTGGAACCTCGCTGTTAGAGTTGCCTTTTTTTAATGTGATTGGGCTTTTGCTAGGGGAAGGAAAATAATGAGTTTATTTTACAAATAAAATCTGAAAAGTGTAAGCAGTATTTTATGTTGAAACCAAAGATCAGGTTTTGTAAGTAAAAATTGAAACAACACATTTAGAAATTAAATCAAAATACGGAAAAAAATACAATCAAAAAATGAACATTTGAAAAAATATCAATTTTTTTTATAATTATTTCTAATTATTTTAAATGTCTTTTTTTACTTTCTTTTTTATAAATTTGTTTTTTTAATTTCTCTTTCAGATTTGGTCTTGCGAAAGGTTTTCTTTTGAAATTGCGCTTCAAAGATAGCATTCTCTTCAAGCCCGAGAAAGATGCTTGCAACAATAATGGAACTAAATTCACTCCACAGTTGTTTTCAAAATTTTGAAAATGGACCAAAATATTTATCAAGCCCGTAATATCTAGGTGCTCTGTTTAACCTTTGCATGGATTTCCAGAGGAGTCATGCCAAAGGAGGATAAAAAAAAAAAAAAAAAATTCAGATTTTCATTTAAAAAAAACATTTTAAAACGATGCATCATTCCTTTTTCTGTACAGCTTTTATCACATTAAACTTCAGTAAATCTATGTTCTCTTTTCAGCACTGGGATGAACTCTCACTACATGACCCAGGGTCCAGGAGCTCCTTACTCCGCCCAGGCGGGTGTGGCCATGGATATGTCAGCCTATCACAACGCTAGCATGCCTCCTGTGTCTTATCCTGTCGCTGGTCCCCCTCACCAGGCTCCTGCTCAGCTGCAGCAGCAACAGCAGGCCTCATATTATCCGCAGCCTTTGCTGTAACCCCCGTCTCCCAGCAGACCTTTAGTTACACTATTCAGATATTTCTGTTTCTGTTTGATCAGCCGAACTCCTGGATTTTTTTTCCTTCTTCTTTAGGATCAATTCTTACCTTTAATTACTTGTCTAGCTGGACTGACGGCACCCTATAGAAGCAGAGGTAACCGAAATGTAACCCAAGTCCCAGTCAGACGTTGGCTGCTGTTTGCGAGGCAACAACCCTTTTGGTTTTCCCTCCTATTATGTATTTAATAAATGGATTATCAGCATTTCACAATTTATAGTTCAACAAAATACTACCTTCACACAATTTTATTTCCAATATTACTCTGAATGTAATGCTTTGAGCTGGATATGGGTGTTTAGAGAGCTTTGCTGTGGATGGATTTGAGTTTAACTTCACACAACCTTATTAAAATTGGTTATGTAGGAAAAAGAAAAATCAGTGCAGCCCTCCTGTCAGTGTCTTCAGCGATTATCCTCTCAGCCTGATAACAGATCACACACGGGCAGGATGAAACCAATCCTTTCACTTCAGACAACGTGCAAACAGAACACAAGCCTTCACAAGAGCCAGCTATATTGGCCGTGTTAGGGGTGGCGGTCAGAGCGATGTGCGAGATGCATGACTGCACGGCGCAGCCGGGAACGTGTCTGGTACAGAAAGGCAGGGAGCCGACTGTGCCGGCGAGGGTAAACAAAGCAGAAAACACCAGATGTATGTGGGCAGGGAGGACTGGGCTCTTCCTGAATGTGCACAAATAGCCAAGCCTGCAGGATTAGCTCTCACTGTGGGTATATGATAGATGAAAGTGAGTTTGGAGCTCATTTACAGCAGCTCCCTCTAAGATTTATTTGCTTAAATCCCAGCTCTTTATTCTGTATTTCTCTGTTCGGTTCGTTACTAAAGAATCAGCTCTTTACCTCACCAGCATCCTTTTCATTTTTTGATTCTCACAAGTGTTTTGCACGACTGTAAATGAATCGCATACTGCGTTCCCCAAAAACTCACTGCCTTCGTTCTGCAATTGTGTTTGAGATATTTATGGAAACCGAATATTTGTGTGTTTGTTTTCTTTCAGTGCTTGAGGATTTAGGTGTCAGAACTTCATTGTGCATTTAGAGAGGGTTTTTAAAAAGCTTCTGAAATTAAAGGTTGAACTCCGCATCTTTGTAGTTCATTCTTACAAAGTGCTGCAGCCTCTGAATGTAATTTCATCTGTTTGTTTTTTGTTTTTTTTCACTCCATGAGAGCTGTCTCTTCAAATTAGCAGAGTTTAAGGTTCTGTTTGCTCAAATGAACGTAGCTGTTTTCTCATGATCAAGTAAGCAGGTGATTTTATTTTAAATATATAAATATGTGGATATAAATGTGTAACTTGCATAGTTAAAACTAGTTTCTCTACTTTTGATTCTTATGTCTTGGGTATTTACAAGTGGAACAGTTTTTTTCAGCAGTAGCTTATGTTTTAAACCTGCTGCTGCTTCTCAGTTAAAATGAAGGTTGCTTTCATCAAATCCTCAACCTGAACGTGGTTTTTGTCTGCGTCGTATTTCTAATCAGCACTCTTCTGTTTCTATGAGTTGTACAATAAATGTAAAATGCCTGGATTAGTAATATTTTTATGTTGGCATTGCAGCTTAGCTTTGTAAACATTTATTTACCACTGAATGCCTTGATTTTTTTTTTCCTCTTAAACTAAAATAATGACAAATGCATCAGCTTGCAACCTCTTTACATTTGTATAATTCTGTACATTTGAAATATTCCAGGAAAGGTTTCTTTATCCGGGATTTTAAAACTGCTTTTGTAATGGAGCAAACTTAAAATAAATATTCTTTAAAATAAAACAAGGATTACCTAAATCATCTGTGGTGTGGATTTTTATTTTATTTTATTCTGAGAGAAGCACAACTGGAAAATCACCAATTCTAAATTAGTCTGTTACCTCTATGTGTTGTTGGTTGTTTGGGTTGTATTAATTCTGATTTACCCAGAATGCATCATTTATTCATCAGACTTACCCTTTCTCTAACTGCTGCTCCTTTTTTTTCATATATATACAGCTTAAAGGTCAGTGCTGTGTGGTGTTGCAGAGCAAATATAATCTACCCAATGGTAAATATTCAGGTTGAGCTTTAGCTTTTTTTCTTGTTTGCTTTTCACAGATCTGGTGCAGGATTACAAAGAAAATCCCCACTGCTGGGAATACAGGTTATTACTAAGAGAACGGATGACTAGAATGTTTATGTTAACAACCTTAAATATCATTGAGCACTTATTAGTGTTTATTTTATAAAGGGGCCATGGCATACTAGATTTCACTCTTTGTACTTAACTGATAGATTTGATCTAATTTTCAAGCTGAGACTGAACCTTTATTCTGATTGTTTTTATTTGGGAAAAAAAAAAGTATTTGTATCTGTCGCCAGTCTATCGCAGGGCAACTCGGAGACAAACAACCATGCATGCACACCTGAGGAAAATATAGAGATGCTCATTAGCCTAACAGTCATGCGTTTAGACTGTGGGAGGAAGCCGGAGTACCTGGAGAAAACCCATACATGCTCAGCATTGTGAGATCATCCATCCATTTTCAAACACGCTTAATCCCAAGTGGGGTCCCGAATGGTGCTGGTGCCTATCTCCAGCGGTCAATGTGCGAGAGGCAGGGTACACCCTGAACAGGTCGCTAGTCCATCGCAGGGCAACACAGAGACAAACACAACAAACAACCATTCACACTCACACCTAAGGAGAATTTAGAGAAGCCAATTAGCCTAACAGTCATGCATTTGGACTGTGGGAGGAAGCCGGAGTAGCCTGAGAGAACCCACACATGCTCAGTATTGTGAGATCAATTAAGTTCTAATTTTTAATTTACCCACTTTGGAAAAAAGCACTTTTCATCTTAACCAGAGGGTGGCAGCAGTGATACCATGTTGTTGAATGTCCTAATTTGACATTTCAAATTCAGTGTGTTAACCAAATCCTGACAGCAAAAATACAGTAATTAATGATTCACCACAATAAACTACATTAAAAGGGGACTGAGAATTCGTTTTTCTGTTATATGGGGTTGAGTTTTGTTAGGTTTAAACACCAAACATTTTATGCAGTAACCTGTAAAAATAAAGACACAGAGAATTTTAGTATGATTTACTTGCAAGGAGAGTGATCAGAGACTGTTCAGTTACAATTCTCCAAACCACTCTGAAACAGCTCTGCCCTCACAAGCCTTTATTAAAGGAAACGCCCTGGCTACAATGTTGGTTCCGACTGCTAAAGGGAGGGGTTGAAACCCAGTCGGTACCAGAAGTTCTGCATCACATCATACAATATCATGAGATAAGGAGTGCTTCACTCCTCATCCGGTGCCAGTACGTGCAATCCTCCATTCTCCTGACCTTGCACACACTAATAACAAGCATTAGAAAGACAGCAAGTGAAACATTTCAACACTTTGTGTAATACAAGTATACAGGAATATGCAAATGTGTAAATATGAATGTATAAGTATAATATGATTAAAGTAGAATAACTTGTACAATTAATCCAACAAGTTTGTCTCTTCAGTCATAGAGGAGTCTTCTATGAGATTAGAGTTAAAGAACAACAGCTAATCCTATTCAATGTTATTTAGAACCAAAAAATAATTTCGGTTCTAGATTAAATTTACAGGGAAGGCCAGGGTGGAGCCAGTGCTTTTTTTATAAGGCCACAGAAAGAAATAAAAAAAATTAAACAGGGAAAACTAAATAACTATTGGGGAAAGAGTGCATCATTAAGTACATTAAGTGAGCCACAAAGCCAAGTTTTCAAACTCCTGATCTATCAGATGAAAGCTGTGATCCCACTTATGACTGAATTGTAAAAAAAAATGTAATTGTTCTAAAAACACATGTTAGAGCTCCATTAGCTTATTTATAACAATTCAATGGGAATTTCCTCCCTTATTTTAAATATAAATCTTCTTATTCCATTGGCAAAAGGCTTTGTTTTTATTCCACTCTATAAAACCTCGAACTCAATGCTATTTCTGACATATTGAATTAAAAAAGCTTCCTGGATGGGAAGCGAAACGTCTTCAAATTTTTAAACAAAGTCCGGTGGATTGTTTTTTTTTTTTACTCTTTTGGAATACCTCCTCTAATCAAAAGGAAAATACAATTATTTCAATAGACTTAGCTATATTTCCATATGCTTTGATAGATTGATTGACTTTATTGATCTCACAGTGGAGAAATTTACTCGTTAAATCAGCTCAAATAGTCAAAGGAGAAGAAGAAGGTGCCAAAGGAGGAAAAAGGTGCATATACATTATATACAGTGCGTCCACGTATGACAGCTTTAATTATTTATTTTCAGTTAGTTTATTATACAGGGTTATTCATATAGATGAGTATTTATATTTACATATTTTCACTACAGGGGCCATAACAGGAGCCAGTTCTAAGGGGCCACTGGCCCCTGTCATACCTTGACCCGGTGTCAGTGCCAGTGACCCCTGTCATGCTTTGACCTGGCGTCAGTGCCTGCCTATCACTAAGTCCATGTCTGTCCACCAGAGGCTTAGCCAGAAAATGTTTTCTGACGGTGGCCAGCAGAGGCGTGCACAGACATTTTGGGGGGCAGGTGTAACACTTAATTATAAAAAAAAATAAACGCATGTTGAATGAAATTTGACTTTTATTTGTAACATTCTCTAAACGTGAGTTTTCAATGGAAAAAAGTCACATCACCAACAGAACAGACTAAAGCATACTTCTTTCATCTGGCTCATCTCCCTGTTTTCTCTCATCCATCTGTTCTCCCTCATCCTGGTCTTTTTCTGTCTCTGTGTCTCCCTGAACTCTTCCTCATCTCCTGTCCTGTTATATGTTGATGGTATAGAGCTTCCCTGCTGTGACTGGCTACAATATATTAATAATAACCATCATGACAATAATAATAATAATAATGATAATAATAATAATAATAATAATAATAATAATAATAATAATAATAATAGCTTTAACAAATATGCCACATTAGTTTAAATAATGGGCTATTAGGGCAACATGACTGGAAGTCTTGTCACGTGGATATGACTTATGGTAGCCTACAAAATAATAGCTATTTTAATACCTGCTGCACAAACCACTTAAAAATAAAATGTGAACAGCTTTTAAGATTTTTCAATACGATTAACCCTCCTTTCTTGGCATTGTGCTGCAATTACTAAATCAATATACAATTAAGACAATAAAGAGACCAAAATGTGTTAATTTATGTTGCCTAACAAAACCTATACAAAAGAAAACGTTTGTCTTAACACATAGATTTGTACAGAAGAGGATTAGGGCCACTGAAAAAAAAAAAAGTTAACTGATTTTTAAATTTTATTTCAGTTTAACATGGGAAAAAAGTCAGAATTCTGACTTTTTTATTGTCAGAATTCTGAGATTAAAGTCAGAATACTGAGCAAAAAGTCAGAATTCTCAGCAAAAAGTCAGAATTATGAGAAAAAAGTTAGACTTATGAGATTAAAGTCAGCATTCTGACTTTTTTCCCATACTAAACTGAAATAAAATTTAAAAATCAGTTAACTTATTTTTTTTTTTCAGTGGCCCTAATCCTGTTCCATAGATTTGCAATTGCAAACTCTACCAAAATTATTTGTAGCCTATGTGGTCGTCCTCACGTTATCTGTCATTGACTTGGGCTACAGTGTAAAACTTTCAGAATCAGAATCAGGTTTATTGCCATTGTTAGTGAAGGAGTTCACAAACTAGGAATTTTTTATGGTACAATCGTGCAACATGAAACATATAATATGGAATAGGTAAATAAAATTATAAAAATATCTAAAAACTGTGGGTATACGTCATGCAATAAAAATAGACTAATGTATACACTTAAGATAAAAAATATGGATACAAAATATAAAAAGTAAAATGGCATCTTACAAGGAGACGACTAGTTTATCAGGTGACCAGTCGGCAAAATGCGTGTTTGGTGCTGCTGAATGAGACATTTTAATGCACAACAAAATGATTCTGCTTGATCTGTATATTACCTGGCTAATGGGGCACGGGAGAAGCAGCCTGTCAGCGACCGTTCCTGCTATCTGAAAACTGCTATGATGCTGCGCATCTGGCATGCCCTGCGGGCGACTGAGCGAGTTCACGTGACAAAGGAAGAGAGAGAGGCTGGTCGGGTGTACTGTGCGCAAGTAGGTCGGTCATTTCGGGGCATTGTTTCAGTCGTTTTTAATGGCTCAGGTTTTCAAAAGATAATTTCAAAACCGACCTCAGTAAAATCTTAATAATATTAAGAATAATAATAATTAAAAAAAAACGAGTTTCAAAAGGGCATTTTCTTTGATAGAGGGCAAACTTCCTAGTGCTTTAGCACCACCTAGTGTCTATGTGTGCACGCCCCTGGTGGCCAGGCAATAACCACTGTACACTGAGGGATGGCCGAAAGTGGATGGGCACCAGAACCTCAGGGTCAGGCCAAAGATAAGACAAACTATACTTTCCTACAGCCTTAGCTAACAAATAGAGACATATATTTAAACATCTATGCTTTCTAGATAAAAGGTATAGTGGATTAAATACTTTTAGGTTTGAGTTCTGAGGCAAACATCTTTTCCACTGTCATTACTTACCTACTTTTATCGATAATCATTCTGCATAAAATTTATATTTAGAAGTGCTCTTATCTACATAAATCAATTATTTTATATTTTTTTTATTACAATAGTTATCTATTTATAATTTCACTGAAGACTCCTAGATGACTTGCAGACACATTATTTTCTCTTTACCCAATATTACAAAATCTAGTTCTGAAAAGACCATGAATTCTGTACTTATCATCTTTA